AATCGAACGATCACATGTGAAGTGCTATCAACAAGGTGAGGTCATAAAATGTGATACATTGTTCTTCAGTCCTTAAAAACATTAACGGTTTTAATATAAACAACACATGCTCCACGTCCAAATAGAACAATCTGCTGATAGCTTACGCTAACCTTGTACACTGGATTACAATCGTTTCGGATGTCTATCTCGAAAAATTCGGAGAGGTGCTTTTACGATCCTGGGATTCTGTCCTATAGTATATTCGGGAGTGCCAGATCGTTGTACGTCAACCATTGAGGAGATTAAATGCAGTGTTGCCATCTCGCAACATTTGTATTTATTCAGTATTGGTGAAATTTATTAAGGAGGACTCAGTGTTTCAAATGCTTGGGAGTGGCACTTCTGTGCGTGCTGTGCTAACATGAAATTCGAAACTCTATAAGAGGATACTTTTACAAATACTGAAATTTAAACACAAACCGTCCATTCAAGCGTATGTGAAGAAGTATAATTTTGCATTTCTTTTCTTTTAAAGTAAATGGCACATTATATCAGCTAAGTGTTTATTATATACTTGTTTACTTTTATTTCCTAACTTGTCCTCTCTCCCCCAAGTAGAAAATATATTATGGTGTCATCATCCCGCGAAAAAACTACTTCACTACGTTAAAACTGTCTGGCATTTTCATTATAATTACTTGTTTCCCATCCATCAAACAGCCAACCCCCTTTATTTTCCTGCTATGGCTGTAGTGGCAAATATGTATGATAAATACTGTAATGGAACCGGTAGGTAAAATAATGGAGGAGCTTTTGGGAGAACGAACGTTTTGCTTTCATATTTCGTGTTATAAATCGTGGTAACTTGATTATATTTTTCTGATATGTTTGCTTTTTATTATCCAGGCTCTGATCATTTCTGAAAGTCATAGGTTGATTAAAATCAAATATCACAAAATAACTTCAACACTCAAGGTGTTATTCCTCATTTAGGATTTACCTGGGTGTTGAAGCCATGTTCATCTGTTGCACGGAGTTCATATATTCATCGCGTTCGTTTGTAATAATTGCAAGTTGTTCTTGACATGTTCTAGGAACAAAACAGTAATGTGTTAGGTACATGGAAATTCATTGCAATCAAACGGCTGAATAAAAATTTAAAAAAATATGCATATGTTACCTAGCTCTAATTTGTTTTGTAGTAAATAAGATTGAGGGCGGTTATTAAGAGATTGAGTTCATCCTAATAGCGATCCGCGGATCGCCTGTTCCAATCGCAGCGCTGTTAACCATATTCCACGTTTATGTACTTCCCTAGACAGCACTTCCTGCCCTGTGAAACTGAATTTACAATCATATTTTCAAGACGTAATAAAATAAGAACAACACCATGCATTATCAGCTAAGTAGTAGATTTTCACTATCGATGGAAGTTTGGTAGACACATTTTAGTTTAACCAATTATACGCTCTCGCTGGACAGACACATCGCAGGAATGGGACACTGTCCTAATTGTAAATCCCATGCAATGGAATAAGTTACTTTCTGAATAGGTATTCCTTACCGTTATGTTTCGTTTAGGCAGATGATTAAATACGCAATGAATTCCAGCAGTTTGTCTGTTTGCAATGTGTACGCATACGCGCAGCCTGTTTGCAGGCCGGTGGGTGCCCATGGGGTCAAGGCACAAACGATTCTCAAAATTCCAGAACGTTAATGCAAACGCTGTCGTTACATGAAATCAGCGTGCCCACAAGTAGAGTAGGTAAGCTGGAAACCAATCATTTAGTGCGGACAGTTCAATACGGACATTTTATTCGCTGAGATGGGTTGATCTTGTCTTAGAGTAGGTACGCATGGCGTGAGCGTGGTAGCAGGTGACATCAGCCAATCAATCCGGCAACTGGCGTGCATGACATGTGTACCGGTTAATTGTAGGTCACAGCACTTACAGAATAATTTTATACAAGGTGTTTCATTCATATGCTGCTTCTTCATTGTGCCGTTTTTCCCCCTGGTGTCACAACCTTACCTATTCTTTTCAAGGTAATGCAGCTTGAATGACCCACACTTTAGGAACAGTCCAATACTTTGCGTCGGCTTTGATTGACCTTATGTTCACCATTGAGCCCTACCTGTTTATAAGTTCCTCTGGATTCGTATCACCGCGTGAAGTGCCACGCAAGAACCTCGTGATCAGTCTTCAAATTTAATATGTATATAGTTTGATGTAATTGATGTAGGCCTTCTACAAATCAAGTTGTTCTTATATCAAATCGACATATTCAGGCATTGTTTCACGTTATCCCTTCATCACTCCATTTTATCTCGGGATCAAATTCAGATGTCCTTTTTCTTTCTTTTAAATTTGTACTTTCTTAGATTGAATATGCAACGATGCAAATTTCAGGAAGTGCTGATTATCACCCGTCCCGTCCCTCCATCTGAATGATCACGTCGCGCAATATTTCGCTGACACTAGTTTCAGTTTGTACAACTATTAACCATGCACTTTCGTGTGCCGGTTTTTCTTACCACTAATGAAGCATGTCCATAGTTTTTTGTTGGAGTAAGGTCCAGTTTGTGTGCTGCTTGCAGATTCGATTCTACTACTCTGTTATGACTATGCGAGCACTAGTACAATGTCTGCGCCTCGATTACCAAACAATTAAAATGATTCTTTTGACTATATGACCGGAATGAAATAAAATATCTCCCAAAATAAATGCGCTTGAACGATCACAAAAACAGTCAACTAACTACATTACACAACAGTTAAATCATTTCATAAAAAGCATTTAGTTCAAACAGATGTACCGTTTTCCAAATTTAGTTTCGCTGAAAATGGATTGAATTTCTAATACCCGTGAAACTGTATGGTGTTATGTAACTGCTCGTCCACTACATGTTTACAAAAAGTGAAACTCGTAACATGTCACTTTTAGTTATTCCGGCCTGACTTTGACTCATCTCCTTCCCCAGTCAAATGAGTTCAATAAACGGATGTGCTAGAAGGGTTTACACCCGGCTTTATCACAAAGAAAAAATTCAAAAAAAAAACAGTCAAATATCTCTCTGTCTCTTTTCTTTCTTTTATTGGATAGCTAAGTGTACAACACTGTTTAAAGAGGTGGAAGTAGTCTATCAAGCGGCTATCATGTAGGTGAATCAAAGAAGGCGACTCGTGACAGAGTTTTGAGGATTCTTGACATTGAACTTTAGTTGCTGAGGGTTTAACTGTCAAGCGGCCGAAGTGCAAAGTTCTGATGTGCATATCGGGCACCACTTCATTCTTACGGTTGGTGCACGCCCATCTAACCGTCTTTTAATCTGGCATCTATCACCAATCTCTTGTAGGTGGAAAACCGAATAAAATGATAATTCACTTGTTTTGTTTTACATTCAGATCACGTTAATTGTTTAGTCGGCGCGTTGCTCAATTGTCATATTAGTTTTTACTGTCCACACTAAAAATCGTCCCATCTGCTCAATGGTGGGTGAACGTCTCATACATGAACAGGTTTGATGAATATATATGAATAGTCACCTTTACGCTTTCCTTTAAATATCTCTGCCCAATAGCGTAATCACAATAGTCCGATAATCTCAATGAGGAAGTAATATCTTTG